TTCAGTCAACCTTCCTGAGAAATTTTTCTGAGCAAATCTCTGCAGGTCCCCTCCTTCCTACCACTGAGGAACTTGGTACACACTGCTGTCAGCTGCCCTTACACGTACAATACTGCTATCAATGTGTGTATTAAAACTTCCCCATGATACTGTAAAGGCCTTGAGAGCAGGCATTATCCTTTCTCCATATTCTCATTGCACATAGCAGGCATTTAATAAATGTCTCATGAATTCATTAATCTGTAATCCACAATTTACTATCTATATCATCCTGGCTCAGTTTTGTTGTCTCCTCTGCCTCAGTGTCTTCATATGTGTTTGTCAGTGTAAACTTACTAGGCTGTGCACAAAATTAAATTTAAAAAACTACCTGAAATATATATTAGCATACCTCCATGGGATACATAGAGCACTTAAGAGGTTAATGCTAGTCATCTCCCCCCAAACCTTCTAAAGATCATATGCAGGATGTCAGCCTGGCCAAGATCAGTAACACTTTTGGAGGCAGCCCGCCTTCAAACACAGATGTATACACTCGCTGATAATAAACGGTTACAGCTGAGCTTAAGATCAGCCAAGTTGATGAAGCTTGAGGAAATGGTGCTGAGTTCGGGAGATCTTTAATGAGAGACTCACATACTATTCCATAAGCTTGTGATTCTCCTCACATAAATAAGTTATAATTCCCCAGCTTTATTGAGTTTCTTGACTAACAAAGCTATAACAAAAATGATGTTCTCAAACTTCTAAGACTGGATCATAAGACACTTTTCAGCTTCCACCTGGGTCCTTTGAAATATTTGCTCTGGGAAGCCCCCTCACTCTGTAAGAAGTATGTCAACCCTAAGAATCCCACGCTTTGAGGAAGCCCAAGCCAGTCATGGGAAACTACCATGCACATTGAGAGGCAGCCAGTCTGTACCTGTTTCAGCTATCTTAACTGAAGCATTAGCTATAGTTTGAGTGAAAAATTCATCCTATATATCCCTAGAACAGTTTTGATGTAACTGCAATCCCACTTTCTACCTGGCTGCAACCCCCCAGAAAACTGCAATGAGCATGATCTAGCTGGGCCAAATCAACCTTTAAGACCATGAAACATAGTGAAAAGCTTTTCAAAAGTATTAAATTTTGAGAATTTGAATGTAGTCCTGGACATGCAAAATAGTCATATGTGGTAATATTCATTTTAAAATGTTAATTTATTTATTTGAGTTCAGAATTGCAGAGAGAAAGCAAAAACAGAAGATCATCCATCCACTGATTGCCCTGATGTCCACAAAGGCCAGGATCAAACCAAGTCAAAGCTAAGGATCAGGAAATTCATCCAGATCTCTTTCACGGGCACAGGGACCCACATAATTGGGCCATCCTCTGCTGCTTTTCCAAGATCATTAGCAGGGAGCTAGATTGGAACTGGAGCACCTAGGACTGAACAAGCATCCTTATGGGATGCTAACATAATCAGCAATGGCTTTACCTGTTATGTCACAATACTGACCTCTAATTTTCATGTTTAGTAAGCTCTTTCAAGTTGCCCAATAAAACGACCATATCTTGCCCTTCATACCCTGTATAAAGTTACTATAGGTCATTTTTAGAATTACAAAGCTTATGAGAAATTTTTAATTGGCCTTTTACTCTTTTTTACCTTTTAAAGATTTCTTCACTTATTTGAAAGAGAGAGACACACCAATATCCTCCATCTACTGGTCTATTCCTCAAATGGCCACAGTGGCCAGAAATGGTTCAAGCCAAAGCCAGAAGCATAGAGCTCTATCCAGACCTTGACCTGGGTGGTGGGACTCAGTCCTCTGGGTCATCCTGTGCTTCCCTCCCCACAACATCAGCAGGGAGCTGAATCAGAAGTGGAACAACCAGAACCAGAAACAATATTCTGATATGGGATGCTTGGCTCCATGAGTTACAATACTGGCCCCGCCTTTTTCCTTTCCAAAGTCAAAAATACCTTTATAATTTTTGTAATTTCCACTTATCATTCAGAAGTTGTGTTGTTTCTCTTATCACACAGAAGTTAAAACACCTTCCTTCCTTTCTTAAATTGATGAATTAAAAACTTCTTTTTTGTATTTGTTTCTGTACACAACTCACAGTAATTGAATACCTGAAAAATAATTCTGGGTCATTTTGCTCAGGTGCACACATGAAGGGAAGGAACTCATCTCAAGATAGATGTGATTCTAAAGACATAACTCAACTTCTTTTATCTATCAAATCCAATTAAATACAGAAAACCCAACCACTGTGACAAAATGACAACAGAAAACTGGGTCAACACTGCTCTGTAAGAATTTCTTCTGTGCCAATCCTAGGGTCAGTGCAATTATCTTCAGTGATTTGGAGGGTGACAGAAAGCCTATCGTTCAATCCCATCACGTAACTGCTTGCAGCTCGACAGCTGCAGTGCTCAGGCTGTAGAACAGGGTAGTGCAAGCACGGAGAGGAGCTGCTGCTCTCTGTGAACCTGGCTGAGAGGAACCTCACCTCTTTGTGCTGTTCTTCTGTTCTGCATCAGACAATTCCATCCCTGTGCTCATCTATCTTTCTCTATGAAATAACCATCACCACCCCCCAAATATTCTTGTTCTATAATAAATATTTTGTCTTATCAAGTCATGCAAAACAGAATTATGTGCTCATCAAATTTTTCCCTCTTGGTCCTTGTTTTTTTTTTCAATTATAAAAATGTGGATAGCAACATGATTTTCCTTTCAGATGCATTTTAGGCATTGTTTCTGAGTGTTGATGGGTGAATTCATCCAATGCGTTTTTGTGCATTTTTACCAGTCTTTCATTACAGTAACTGAAATATCTTACAGGAGTTTCTCAGGCAGGAAGGCTTAATTTAATTAATCCACAGATGTAATTTGCTTATCCCCATTAGTCCAACATCTGTTGAGGGTGGTAGGTGAAAGAATGCATGCGGAGAGAGAACCACATGGCCAAACAGGAAACAGAGAACTAGTCCGCATCAGTGTTCCTGACCACTTCCCATGTGAGAACTACCTTCACAGTACATGTCTCAGTGACCTGTAATCCTGCCACTGCTGTTCTCCTCCCAGACACCATCACAGGAACAAGCTTCATCTCAAGCTATCGCCCATTACCATGATCCCATTGACCATTAACCTAAGACCTTGAGGAGCAAGCACCCAGTATGCAGGACATGCAAACTATGTACACCGTAACAGCATTGTTGTTCCTAGGTGCTGCTAATATACATAGACCATAATACTGCTTTACAACCATCGTCTGCAAAGTATGGACTCTTTCCATAGATACAAGTATCTCTACCCCAACTTTCACTTTCTTAAAATTTCATAGTATTCCATTTTCTTGCTCCTTTTTAAAAGGATTTGTGGAAAATTAGTGAAGCAAATTAGATTATAACCATTTTGTTTCAATAATTCACTCTGTCATGAAATAAGAATGGGTTAAAGCCAAAGGCAAGCAAACAATAGTTGTAACTCAGAAAAGGGAAATTGCAAAACAATTCACAGGGCAGATTTTGTGTGAATACTTTAGTTGTTGACTCAGGCTGGGAAAAAGAATCAATGACATTGGCAATGCTGACAGTTTCACATTGGCATCTGTATGTTTCGCCGACAACTTTAAAACACTGTGTATGACCACCACTTTCTTGAGAATGCAACAGCAATGTCATTTATTGATTTTGATCACATTCATTAAAGTAGGTGAATTATTTTATGCTTTCTTGCACTACAACACAATGTGGATTGGATCATGTTCTCCAAACTGGAACTGAACACAGGAATATCTTTGCTATCACATGATTTTCCAGAGGGAAAGTGTGATGATTTATTGGCATTCCCACTATTAAAGATACTAACCATTATTAAACCCAGCTCTCAATATCGCAAAATCATCAGAAAGCTTTTACTTACCCTCTGAAGAGTATTTATCTATTGCAACTGGTATTAACAAGACAACAAAATATACTCTGGGTTTGAATTGAAGATCTGTGTTCCAATGAGCTAACAGAGATTTCTTAAGGTTGCTGTATTTTACATATCAAGACAGAGGCAACATATTATAACCAACAGTTATCTGCAAGTTTCCAAGGAGAAAATTTGAAACTTTCTCAGGATTAGCTCTATGATAAGAGTCCACAATTTGGATTAGTGAAAATACACGGTTGGCAATTTTAGTAAACCAAAAAATACTTGGTGACATTGAAATCTATCTATCAATTCAGATTTACTAAAAACAATGAAAAACAGGAGATACTGAAAGCTACAATGTGCCTGAGTATATTTTTGCTTCAAAAAGACACATGGTGAGAGTTGACTCAGCCCCTTCGAACACTTCTCTAACAACTGTCCAAATGAGAGAGAAGAGCCATAATCAAAGAAAAAAAAAAAAATCTCCGAGCAACCAAAGCAGATGCTACAAAATCAAAACTTCAAATATTGTGAAATGTATTCAGGAGGCTCTGAGGCCTTTAGGCAACATTGTGTGATTCAGAAACAATTTTTGAAGCTTGCTTATCACAGATCCACCAGATGCGCAAATATCAACACAGGGCTACAAGAATCATGAAAAACAAGGCAATATGGTAACTCCAAAGGAACACAATAATGTTTTAGTAACAGACTCTAAAGGAAAGGAGAGTGAAAATTTCCTGACAAATTATTCAAAAGAATGACTGACTATAAGGATACTCAAAAACATACTAGAAAATAAAGACAGTTAAACAAGACTGTCCATGATATAAATGAGAAATTTCAACAAGACGATAGAGATTTTGACAAACAGCAAAGCAGAAATCTTTCAGAAGATAGTAAGTTAATTCGTATACTTTAAAATCTTAACAATAGATTATTCGATGCAAAAGCAAAAACATCAGCGCTTAAAGATGGATCTTGTAAAATATCTGAGATCAAAAAAAAAAAATGAAGAAAGCCTCCAAGACAAGACCATTAAAAGAAAATCCAGGAAACATAATTGAGAACACTCACCCAATCTGGAGAAATATGTATCATCAGCGTACAGGAAGCCCATGGGATTTCAGTTCGAAATTAGAGTCAAACTAGGAAGGCTACGTACGTTAACTGTACCTTGAAGGACAAGAAACCATGAAGACAAAATGACATTGATGCTTAAGGCATACAAAACCAATCAAGTAAATTTCAAAAATACTATTGAATACTCCAGATTTTTCAATGTGGAGCTGCAGTAAATTTATTAGCCAATAGGTTTCCTTTTGCCTAACACATTATACCCTTCTGGTTTCTGCTAGAGTGTAAACACTTGTATAAACATATTTAGAGTATGCAATGTCTATTGTATCTGTGCTTTTTAAAACTATTCACTATTTCCCAAATTTTCTAACTTCCCAGGAAATTAAATCAAAATGTTACAATATTGCCTTTAAAAATGTCTCCCTGTTTCCATTAAAATTTTTCATATGCAATATATTAAAATCAAACACATTTATTAGTTCTTATATTCTTTGTTTAATTACCTTGAGAAGATAAAATGTGAAAAAAAAGATGACACAAAGAATGTCTTTGTTCTGAAGAAATTTTTTCATTAACTCTGTGGAACTTGTAAATAAATCATCATCATACTTCTTTTCTTTGTTCACTTATTAACACCATAGTTTCCTCCTTTCCCTGCCTAATCTCTCTTGGGCTTGGGTTTTTATTAAATGAGCCAAAAGAAACATATCGATTACTTATATCCTTCTCTGGATTTTTGCCTAATCCCTCTACTGTCTACCTTCCCTTCCTCCTAATTATTTGCTATAAATCAAAGAATAAAATCTTCCTAATACCCCAACATGTTGTGGTCATGCTGTAGAAATGTTGAAAACTAGAGAAATGCTGACCTCGGCACTTCTGCCTCAGGTAAAATATTTCCTTCAAGTTTACATTTCAAACTATCACAAAATACCATATTTTAAAAATGAAAAGAATCTAACAATGCTCCTTGAAATGTCATTTCTTCTCAATTGAAGAATTCTTCATAAAGAAGATACCTTTTCAAAATAAACTTTTCTAATATTTTGGGATTAGAAATTAAAGTGATCACATTTGCATTGCTTTTACTGTTCAGTGTGAATCCGTCATAGCTACACTCTAGTTGTATTTACGCTAATGTGTTTTGTGCATAATCTGTGTTTATTTTCATTTAGGAAACTTTATTTAACACCATATATTTTGAATATAAGAAGATTGTGGATTTTTCTTTAAAATGCAATTACCCTTCCCGTGGACAGCCACAGAATCAGCAGTGAGAAGCTGTCTGTGAAACTGGGCTCCCACAGCTTGAGATTCTTTGAATGTGTCCACTGATAATACTGCAGGAGCCAACTAGAGCAGAATTGAGTTTCACAAGTAACAACTCAGCTGTGTTTCCTCATTGACTGGTCAGGTTCTCGCTTTATGAAAGAAGTTTATCATGAAGAGGTAGTGATCACAACATATATTTGTGTTCATAGGAAACATGGCTATTTGGCATATGTTCCAATGAATAAGTCTGAAAAGCGATAACTTTTAGCATATATGCAATGAGGACAGAAAATGTAACAAACTTAGTAATCATTTAGAGCCTATAGTCAACCACAGTGATTGGGATACAGTAGGTGCTCAGTCAATGCTGATTGTTTATAAGCTCTAAAAACAGAATGCTTTGAATCCTGCTCAGAGGGGTAACTGGGTAAAATTCTTTCATTCATAATCATAAGGACTTAATATTAGACTTTGAGGATAGCATTAGATTATGTTTGGTTAGGTGGGGAATTAGTAGTGAAAGGGACATACCAAGGTTCAAGAAGAAGCTACAGCACCAATACATGTGTGCTTTGGGAGTATGCTTGTTAATGCCATTTTGGCTCTTTGTAAGAGTGGCGGATGATAACACCAACATTCACAATGAGGGACAATAAAATGGTTTCAGGAGAAGAGGAGCTTAGAGCAATGAAGAAGAGTCACATGAAACAACACTGGAAACGGTAATTGGAAAGGAGGTGCATACGTGGCCATGTACTTGTGTGGAGGAGTTGGGTTTTGACAGGCAGACTAGAGAGAAGCTTAGCCATTAGTCATGAGTGAATTAGAAAGGAAAGGTTTATGTTAGGTAATGTCATATGCAAACACAGTTAAAGCAAAATCAAATAATAGGATGAAAAATAGATCGGAAAAGAGAGAAGCAGAAGGGCTTAGGACATTACAAGAACCTCTTTCAAACTTCACTAATGCATGAAAACAAGGAGACAACCTCCAGGCAAGGCTGACTCCCTGGGGTCTCTAAATACCAACTGCTTTTCTCAGTCAGCACTTTGAGGGATGTATCTGAAGAAATAAAGAGTTGATCAGGGATTTGTATATCACCCAGGAATTTTATTCTTTTGATGACCATTAATCAAGTTATGGAAAGTTATACAGCCCTTTAAAATCATATAAATGTACTTATGAGAAAGGAAAAAATGCCCAAGACATTCAAAGTGAAAAATGATATTTACAAACAACCTATTGAACATAAGCTCAAAATAAATATAAATGATGCCTATTCTATGCTACATAACATTGTTAGTTCTGTTTAGCTAATAAGATTAGAAGTAGCATTACTTCCTAATATGCATTTTCTGATATTTCTATATGAACCAATTACATTTAGGTCTATTTTAACATAATAATAAAGACAAAATTCAGATGTTATGGATTAATAAAAATTGAAGCAGAATGGACAGCAACTGTCATAATTTATCAGGCATTCTTTTATTTTCCAGAAAGATATATGATAACCAGCAGAAATACTGGTCCTGAGTATTGAAAGTAAGCACAGTTCAGAATATGAAAGATTGAATTATAAAAATTGTACTTTTTTGGTGTATATCAAATTTGTTTATTTTATGCTTTTTTGATACAGTTCCATATGCTCTGGTATTTCCCTTTCTCCCTCCCCAAATTCCCACCAGCTGACTGATTTCCCCTATATTATTCCAATATTATAGTCCTTCATAGATACTCATAAGCCCATCATTCTGCTATTCAGATGTATCCTGACACTATGTATGGACAATGGCAGATAGTCCATTATTCTATTGTCAAGATATATTTAACAATTTCCTGGGGAATCCATCTTTAATTTGGAAGTAGAGATTGCACACTGCATTGCATCTTCAGGCTGAATGTGATAGTTTTCATTCCCTTAAATGAATAGTCAAAAGAAAATCAACAACAGGAAGGAAAAATGAAAAACAATTTTACGGAAGCGTTTTCAAAAGTGAAGTGGCAGATAGAGAAAGGGGGAATCCAAAGCCTGAAATTTTGGAAAATGCCCCAATTTAGACAAATGAGAAGAAAGATGAATGTGGGAGGAGATGTGTTTTCATGACCGAACGCCAAAGTCCAGCGGTAGATCCAGTAATAACAGGTTGACAATAAACATGATCTTGCAAAGAATCATTAGACAAGGGAAAGGGTGATGTAGGGATACACTGTGAGATAGGTGCTGACAGATAAAAGGAGACTGAAAAATTTGGTTGAAAAACAAAATTAAAATATAATGAACATTTTGCCTTGCATTTTTGAAGTCCCTTTGTACAAGAATTTCAAGTAACAAGAGATAGGCAATTGGGACAATGCTAGAAATACATAGTTGAGGAAGTCACAAGGTTGGGAAAGTGACCTGTCTTTTGTGAGTTTCAATGACATTAATAAGGATGAACTTTGTGAAGCTGGAGGAAAGGGATTATAATTCAGGGAAATCCAACAAATGTCAGTGGTGAAAAGAAATAGAGTAGTATACTTTTCACCTTACAAGGTTGCTACTCACACATCCACTCATTTCATCTATAACATAAAAAGAAGGATCATTAAACGTACTGACAGGGGACAAATGTGCCAAATAACCCTAAAGAGTAACCAGAGATGGTATCAAGTTGGTAAGTAGTGATCTCATTGAAGGACAGCACCTCTTTCTCCACCAAAGTTGAAAAGGAAGAGGAGAAGTATGAACCACAGCAAGGCTTTGAAGCAAAGTATTCTTCAGTTTAAACGTAAATGAGAGAAATCTGTCTCAAGTTGCAAGGTAAAGATGGTTCTTGCTTAAAAGACTCATAGTGAAAGTAATGCCAGGGAGAGAGACGCTCCCAACCAACGCCCTAATGGATGCATTATTTGGCAATAGAAAGAGCCCAGCTAACTTTGGGAAGTTAGAGATGAATCAATCATCACCACACTGTTTTCATCAGTCACTACTTTATTTTTGCAGATTGGAGACAAAATAAAAGAAAGTAGACCCTGAAAATGACTCAGCTAAGACTAGCAGAAAAATGATGAGGAAGAGCTTAAAATATTCCTTAGAGCAGACATTTGGCTTCTCAAGGAAGAACTCTAAAGCAACCTGCTTTAGTGTCCAGGTATAACCAAGGAATAATTAGACCCAGAAGAAAGATACTGAACTAGATGAACTAGAAAGAAGTTCAGTCCGACAGAGACTATTCACAATATCAGTTTGTTTTTTTCAAATGATTGCACAGGTTGACTCATTTCCCAGTATGAGGATGTTATGTGCCTTTTGGGTACTGAGATAGCTAAAATATGAGTATGCCTTCCACATCACACTTTTTATTATTTTAAAACTAGCCAGTCCTACAGCCTAGAGATGAATGGAACCACAAAGCAGTAGGAATCTGGATCCTATGGATTGTATGCCATGTCCAACTAGAAATATCCACAGGAATGGCATGTGAGAATAACAAAAAGAAATGTGTGTTCTTACCAACTAATTGAGAGTTAGGGTCTTGTCTACTATCACACCTACCATAACCCTGACAATATAACAAGCTCGTGATTATCCAGAGTTGGGTCGCTGACTAGAGGAACCCATAGATTGAGAAACAGAGACAGAGGGGGATGGTGCTATGGAGGCTAATCCTACTCCAGCAGGTGCTAGCATCTCATATGGACACTGGTTCATATCCCAGCCACTCCATCTCTGATCCAGCTCCCTGATTATGGCCTAGAAAAGCAGCAGAGGATGGTCCAAGTACTTGAGACCCTGCAGCCATGTAGAAAACCTGGAAAAAGCTCCGGGCTCCTGGTTTTGGACTGACTCATTTCCAGCCATTACAGATATTTGGAGAGTGAATCCACAAATGGAAGATCTTTCTCTCTGTAAATCTGCCTTTCTAATAAACATAAGTAAATATTTTTAAATAGCCAGCTAATGCTGCTATAAGTCAAGGATGCCAGGAGGTAATTGACTAGAAAAGGAGGAGCCTTGGAGATAGACATGTGACAGCTGTTCTGAGGGAAATACTTCCTCTCACTAGGCATCAGCACTGGATAGGAAAAGAACAGAGGTGTCACAACTGAGCACACTGACCTCAGTCTGTCAACACCTTGTCCAGGGAAAGGTCCCGGGCCAGATGATGACCTCTGGCTATAAGCATTCAGATTCTCTGTGTGATTTGCAAGCAGTCACAGAGCCTTTTGCAACTGAAGTTCTCAACTGAGGCAGCATGGGAGAGCCTATTATTTTGATGTCCAGAGGTCATTTGGAAATGTCTGGAAAATTTGTCACAACTGAGAGTTGGTGTCCTGTCAGCATCTACAGGGCAGAGTTCAGGAATGCTGCTAACTGCTCTATGAGGTCCAGGAAAACTCTCTACAACAACATATAATATGACAGGTTTTGTTTTAGAGCTTCATGTCATTACCCATAATGAAAATTTGGTTTCTAATTTCAATAAGAACAATTATCTGAATTACAACTAATCAAAAGCTATCTTTAGCCTATCATTTTTAGCAGATTTATATTTTACAAAATCCCACTATGTCTCGAGGGAGATCATATGGAGAAAGTCAATTTTTCCAATAAAGTGTTTATTAATTGAAGAAAAACCTGGGGAGTTTGGCTTACCCTTTCAAAACTGTGCACCACTAGAAACAGAGATTTACAAATGACCAAAGTCACTACAAAAATCAACAATCTCCTTCGGGCAAAGGCGCTGAGCTGTATGTGGATATTCTGTGTTCACCTAAGGGCTCCTAACCATTTGCTATTGGATGGCCCCTGGTAGTAAAGGCATTGGATGGATACCTACTGTGTCAAAAGGATTCAAAAGGTTTTCTGACTGACTGCAGGAACACGGAGAGCAAGGCATTTGCACGAAGTCTATTTTGCAGTTGGAACTGGAGAACAGAAGATGACGAAGGAAACATCAGTAGCAGTCAAAGGATAAGGTGGTTACACTGCACGCTGCTGAAAGCTCTCCTACCCTTGTTAATGTTGACTTGCTAGGGGAGAACATAATTTTTCCTCTATTATATCCTCAATTTAGCAGTCCAAAATTGCTGTTTATCCTATTGATTAAGACAGAAGTATGCTTTCAAATACTACAGAAGAGTTTACATAGGGTTATATTCATACACCTAGGATAAACACCCTAACGGAATGTTTTCAACAATATATCACAGTTGTTAACAATTCCAGAAAATTTTCTAGAATTTATTAGATACTCTGACTTGGCTCTGTAAACACTTCAAGAATTAATTACAGTTAAACTGTAATTTTAATGCTTGTTTAACCTATAACTTCTTCTTGGTAGGTGCCCTGGATTTTTCATATCTTTTCCTTATATTAAATTAGATCATCAGCCACAAAGAAAATAGTTATACTGAGGTGACATTTAGATGGAATAACTTACCTTACTTTAAAGCCATTAAAATAACTGAAAAATACTTGCAAGTCTTACACATTTATATTATCCATTATGTCACATTACATATTTTACATTAGTATCTATGTAATAGATCCATCTGAAACGTTTCCAAGTCATGAAATGTTAGAAAGATAAAGACAGTCAGGGCTCCCATGTGCTGGCCATTTCCCAAATGTCCACAACACCCAGCTGTGAGTAGGCCATTCTGAAGCTTGGAGCAGTGAATTCAATCCAGGTGCTCCCCATGGAAAACAGGAACCCAGTTACTAGAGTCACCACAGCCACCCAGGGACCGCATGAGCAAGATGCTAGCGGAGGATTCCATCCCAGGTTCTCTGATATCAGAGTCAGGTGTCTTAGCTGGCATCTGAACTCTTAAGCTAAATACCCAGTCTAGCTTTTTTTTTCAAGGTCAATAAACATACTTTTGATGTGAAATATATTTGTAAATAGTTTATGAAAGCCAAAGTGAGACAAGAGAGAGGGGGTGGGGTTTCATTCCTTAAGTTAGGAAGAAAGATTGTAAACACTCAGAAAAATGAGAGTTTACAGAATTGAAAACAAACTGGAAAAAGCTGAAAAAATGTAGATGTCCAGATGACAAGTTGATGAGGATATGAATAAATTATGTTCAGCCCACTTCGTGGAGGAAAAAAAATGCTTAATTGAGTTAATGGAAAAATGAAATTCACTGGAAACCTTTAATTCTCACCCAAAAGGTGGCAGGAGAGCTCATTAGCAGTGTTGCAAGGAGCATGAGTCAATTTAGCATATACTAATAAAAACAGTTTTAGGACTTTTCTTTTATGTTTATTATTCTCCATTCTTTTAAAATCTATTATTTATTAATTATTGCATGCAAATATGCATTTGGAAGATATAATACACAATTAGAATTTGTGCATACATGGGCAAAATCTTACCATTGCTTTGAATTATTTCCAAAAGTTGATTTCACCTAAATTATTCAACCATCTACCTGTCAGTTACAGCTCTGAATTTGTCACCATGCTCACCTGGCAGCAATCTTCTTTGAATTTTAATAATCAGAGCAGGTTAACTATCTAAAACATGAATTGTTAGCATTTGTGGAGTTTTATTTTACTCAAAGCAACATAGCAGGGATTAAAAATGCTCCATGATATGACCATACAATATAAGATTATGGGGAGTTAGAATGGCTAGTAGGCTGTAGGCAGTTAGGAAAGGCCCCTGTGGGAATGAGGAGCCAGGTGCTCCTTACTGATGGTGAATTCTGCCATCCAGTGACTAGACAATAGATACTATCCCAAGAAAATGAAATACTTGATAGAGAAAACAAAATGTCCCCTACCCAAAGGTAACCATGTGAGAGCTAGACTCTGCCATTATACCAGAGCATGTTACAGAGCACCTGTCTGTCTCAAATGCTAAGCCTCTAGAGAGGTAAGTATAACCAGCCTTAATTGGTTATGCCGACAACATTTCTCAACTATCACGTCTCCCAAGAGGCCAACGTGATAACATTAGTTAATTGGTCAGAAACCATGATGGTTACACGAATAGTATAGAAAAGACAAAACAGAACTCTGATATATTATAAACACGCCGAAGAATCAATCAACTGACATGCAGTGCTATAGAAGCTCCCAATATCCGGACCTGGGTGGACCTACTCCCTGGGAACTCTTCCTACCAAACACGACTGTCTACTTTCACTTGCTTTGCTCATCCCCCTTTATGGTCCACATCCCAATTCTCAATTGCTCTGAGACTAAGAACCGACACCTATACCAAATTCCTGACACGATGATCTACTTAGATTTCTTTTTTTTTTTTTAAGACTTAATTATTTTTATTTAAAAGTCAGATATACAGAGAGAAAGGTCATCCGTCTGATGATTCACTCCCCAAGTGGCCACAACGGCCAAAGCTGAGCTGAGCCGAAAGGAGCCAGGAGCTTCTTCCAGGAGTCCCACGCAGGTGCAGGGGTCCCAAGGCTTTGGGCCATCCTTGACTGCTTTCCCAGGCCACAAGGAGGGAGCTGGATGGGAAGTGGGGCTGCTGGGTTTAGAACTGGAGCCCGTATAGGACGCCAGTGCTTACAGGGCATGGACTTCAGCTGTTAGACCACTGCATGGGGCCCTACTTCACTTTCTTTAGCCACTCTTTTTTTTTTTTTTTTTTTAGCCACCATTAATTTAGAGTAATGCTCAGTGCCTAACCAAGATAATCATCGTACCGATGTGTCAGTTCACACCTACGGTTTTCTATCCCCTGAGCTTTCCTGGATTTATATTTAAATGGTACAATTCAGTATACAAACTACCTCACACACAAAATACTAAAACAGATACTTTTGGATGTTTTGAAAGAAACAGTTGCACCCTGATTAACCTTCATAAATGATGAAGAATTCAGAAATAATCAGTGCTTCCATTAATATTAATGAAAAATTAGTCATGCAGATTAATAAGTCCCACGGGCTCAGGATCCAAAAGAAATTGGTTACACCTAAAATAAATTACTCTGTGAGAGTATAAGGATATCAACAATTATGGAAATTATGACTCAAAGCAATAACACTATAATTCTCTATATCCCTGGTATTCACTACCTCAGGAACACATCAAAGTTAATATAAAGTTCAAATGGAAAAATTGGTAAACTAGCCAAATTATTTTGGAGGACAACGAACTATAAATTTTATATGCAAACTTTTACATGTTTACATGTACACTCTTGTTTACAAACTCAGTGACACGAGTGAGGAAGACCTACATCAATTAACAAAAGCATGTAAGTTCTAATGATTTTTAAATGAGTGCACCCAGGTACATTGATATAGTAACTACAATCAGAATCGCAATAAACTACTTTCCAGAAGCCCCAAAGGAAACACATTTTAAGGACTCAGAGAAAAATTTGCAATTACCATATTCATTATTTATATGTAAATCAAAATGACTAACAGCTGCTTAAGGGTGTAAAAACAACACAATTTGTTCTATTAAGTAGTTTAAACATTCTTCTTAAAATCTTATTTACCTGTTTAATCTGCTGAACAATGTCTTTTCTCAACCAGGGGACCAAGAGAAAGGAGGAGACGTATTGTCTGCTTCTTCTTATTTCTCCTGAGAAGACATCCTTACGCAAAAGAGAAGGAGGTTAAAGTTCAGTGGTAACATTTTGTTGACTCTCTATACTTCTTGATTGAGTACTGCAGTGATTTTCGTCTCTGGAAAGGCAATATTTTGTGGCAGTAAAGATCTTCCTTTCCTCCCAGGAGTATATTGTTTCCATTGATGAGTACTCTAGAGAAGCTCAGCATACAAGAGATGGAGAATTTCAGGTGCTGTAAATGTACTCTCAGGAGCGACTGGAATCAGTTGACTATGACCTTCATTCTGGCATCTGATCAGATCATGTATTAAAATGGGTCGTAGTGTGGGTACTGAAGGGTTTGATGTCTGTCTCTGCATGATTTTCTTAAGCTATCATTAAGGGAGACACTGGAGCAGGAAGTTGAGCTGCTTGGTTGTAGAACACCCTTGTGTCCTCTCCGGGTGAAACCAAGGCCCTGAAGGACATCTTGAATGCAGATGCCAGTTGCCATCAGGTCCTGGGCTCCAGGGTCTTTCAGTCTCTTCACCTTAGCTTAAAATATCTCTTGCAATGTTTTCACTAAAATTAGCTCACTGAACTCAGAGGGTGGTAATTAGCCATAAGTGATCCCTACCCAGATGATTCATGGGGCTGTTTATTTCCTCAATAGATTGATCTTGACATTAGGTCTTTCCTTGAGGGATTTCTTTTCCAGGAGTCCTAGACCACAAACAAAGGACTAGATCTACCAAGTGACCCAGTCATTCTACTCTTGGGAATATATACAAAGGAAATGAAATCCACACACAAGTTACCTGGAACACGACATTTATAGACAGAAAAGATATGGAACCAAACCAGATGTCCATCAACTGATGACTGAATAAAGAAAATGTATTACACACCCAAAAAAAAAAAAAAGAATGAAATCTGTCCTTTGCAACATAATGGTCCCAGCTGGAAACCAATATACTTAGAGAACAGTTACAAAGGACAAATATCATATCTCTTTTATCTGTGACAATTAATATTCAGAGCACCAAAAAAAAGTAATCTCTGTAAAAGATTAGCACACTGGGAGTTAAGTTCTGTAAATAGCATGCCTCAATACACTTGAGTAATAGCAGGATTTACATTTTTATTTTACATTTCTTTTATTATATTTTTTTAAATATTTATTTACATTTATTGGAATGTTAGATATACAGAGAGGAGGAGAGGAATATCATCCATCCAATAATTCACTCTCCAAGTGGCCATCATGGCCGGAGCTGCACCAATCTGAAGCCAGGAGCTAGAAACTTCCTCCAGGTCTCTTGCATGGAAGCAAGGTCCCAAGGCTTTGAGTCATACTCAATGGTTTCCCAGAAGAGAGCTGGAAAGGAAGTGGGGCTGCTGGGATTAGAGCCAGTGCCAATATGGAATCCCAGTGCCTGCAAGAAGAGGACTGTAACCACTAGGGTACCACACTGGGTCCTGTGTTATCTCAAACTGGAGATCCAATCTGGTAAGCTGGCATTGCAACTCGGGGTTTCATTCACTGCAACACAATTCTGGAGCCCTGGGTAAATATTGAAAGGAACTAAAAGTAGTATCTTGAAGAGATACCTACACTCCTAGATTTATTGCAACGTCAGTTACAACATCCAAGATCTAGAAGCAGTCTATATTTCTATCAATAGATGAATGAGTAAATAAAATGTGGAATATATATGAAATGGAATACTAGCCTTATTTTTAAAAAGCCAATAATATTTGCAATAACAAACAAGTAGGTTTATCAGCATTATTGGCCTACAGCTTTTATGTCTTGAGATGTCATTGACTTTGATATCAAGATAGCCAACAAAAGGAACACTGAAATATAGAAATCCTCAGGGGCTAGTGATAACCTGCCCCTGCTCATGATTCAAGAAACAGAATCCCCCCTCCTCACAGTTTCTTATCTAGACCTCCTGGATAAGGGAAGAAGCTTGGGAAACCCTACCTTGTCATGTTACCATCAAGGCAGCTTCATCTAACACTCTCTTCTCAAATACAATGAGAAAAAGAATGGGGGCCGAGAAAAAGAGTGAGAGTGAGAGCAAGCGAGAGAGAAAGATGCTCTGTTGAAGAAATATGAAGTAGCTCATTTTTCTGCTCTATGGAAGTGTTTGAGAAGAATTAGTACTAATTCTTAGAATGTTCAGCTGTCATGTCACTGAACCTGAGCTTTGTTTTTATGTTGATGGCGGTGGGAGCAGTGGTTACTGAGGCAATCTCGTTATCGATGTGTTCTGGTTAGTTATGTTCTTTTGACGATTGTTTAGTGGATATTTTTCCTCTTCTTAGTGCAGTCGCTTGCCACACTAGATACCCCTTTTTACACCAGTTTTATTATATCCCTTGAGCTTTGGTATGTTGTGTTTTTATATTCAATATTATTGAGTAATGGTTTGTAAAATTCCTCTTGATTCTTGATTTCTTCTTTGGTACAGCAGCTATTCAAGAATGTGTTATTTAGTTTCTACTTATTTGTGAAATCTTACATTTCTTAATGTTATTGATTCTAGTTCACTGCATTGTTGTCACATAAGAACCTGGTGTGATTTCAATCTCTCTAAGTTTGCTAAGACTTGTTAGCTTAAGCCATGTATTATTGTGGGGAATGTTCCTGTGAAGCTGAGAGGAAAGGTGTTCTTCCACTGTTGGATGGAAAGCTCTGTGCTCCTAATTAGGCGCACTTGATCTATAGCGTAGTAGAACTCAGATCTTTGGGATTTTCTGCACTGGTGTATTCTCCATTATTGAAAGGAGTGTTTAATTCTCTCATTACTGTTGCTCCATTATCTCTCTCTACCTTCAGCTCTCCTGACATCAATTTTATATTTAAATGCTCTTCTGTTGATTGAATGTATATTTATAATCATTTTATATTCCTGTTAAACTGCCAGCATTAAATAATGACTTTTTGTCATAGTTTCAGACTTAAAGTCAGTAATGTAATGGAAGGAATTCATTCAAAATGGCACCATTACCCAGTAGGTAAGGGGTTGAGCTCTGTATTTGTCTTTCTGGTTTCTCTTACTTCCTTGTAATTGAAAGCATACTTCATTTTGCCTTAGATTTCTCTTGCTAATCTGTAAAGTAGGGATGCTAATAGTGCCTTATGTGCTCACTGGAAGCACTGAAATACTTGTAAAATGTTCTTAGAGTAAATGGTAGATGATAACTACTCAATGTTATTATGGAAAAAGTAAAGTGACACTCACAAAAGTACAGGCATAGTACATACAATTTGAAAACAGAAAGTGAGTCTCCTCCATTACTTAATACAAAGAAAACCATTTGGGGATGGAAAACACAAGGTGGGGAAAAGGGTGAATGAGAGTAACTCTACTTCAAATGTGCTCATTTAGATGCACCAAGGGGCTCTTGTAACCTATCTCGCCAACCAGTGCTCTGTGTCCTGGAGGAGATACGTGACACATACCAGGGAAACACAAAACTGGTCTTCAATGTAGCAAAAATAAAATCGAGTTAACACTATGTCCCCAACAAAGGAAATTGCTGTACAGCCAAAGAATGTCAATAGGAGATGTTCATGCAATATACTAAGTTCATCTTCCCGGTCAGGTAAAACAGATTCATTCAGCAGCAATGGCTTCCTAAAAAAGAAGTGAAGCTTCTACAATAACTTACTCTCACTCAGTAAGTCATTCATCCTGTTTGATATTGAGAACATGCAGAGTGTGATGAGCAGTTTCTACTCTCCGTCCCCAATGAGAGAGAGGAAAAAGATAAATTTTGCCTCAACATTAAAAATAAAACAAACTTATTAAAACAATAAGGACAAGTGTTGTGCTGATGTGACATTTTAAGTCACTTTAAGTTTCATTGCCATTTCAACTGAATTATTATATACATGTGTGTATACATATAGATATACACACACATACATATAGAAAGTGATATATACACATACATATATATCTCCGTGTGTATGTGTGTATATCTATACAGAGAGAGAGAAGGAGAGAGAGCCCTAAGTGTCCTTTAAGCTGATCATTTTGTCTAGACATTAGACATAAGGACTCTCATAGCAGCTGTCTTAGATTTTAGTCCATGTACAAACGAGTTGTTCTTTTCATAATTTTTCATTTCTCACAGATAGTAAGACATTATCGAACTACTTATTCTGGAATATAAAGGAAAAAGCATTTCAAACATTAATGTCAGCTAATAAGCACAGCAGAAAAGAACAAAAGAATTATTTACTGTTTACATTTATATTTCTTAAGCTAATGTTTTAAACTAGCAAACCATTTTTATTACAGATCTTTCAATTTTGAAATTATACTATCTAGTATTATACCAGAGTCCTGAAAACCCAAGATGATTAATTATTTATAAATGGTAGTATTATTATGGATAATAAGAGCCTTTAATTTGATAAATAATTAGCTTTACATCCAAAAATTGCACTAAAAGGGAAAAATTGCTTTTCTTTTCCTGTTGTTCATTTCCTTTTCTTCAATTATATATAAAACACAGAAATCACTCACTTATTATTCCTTCAAGGGAGGAAGTCTCAATTATTGAAAAAGGCTTGAGCTAAAATTTGACCTACCCAGTTGTTATTATTGATGAAGACTTTCCTTATCCTAAGACAATCTGCCTTGGCTCTATGCCCTTACACAGCTTCATACATATGCATTGTTCAGGTGTTTATTTCTATAATTATTTTATTACCTGTCGTCTCACAATTCTGAAAGTTCTGTGAGAAAAAGGATATTACCTGCTTGGTTTTTATGTTCCATTTTTATTAGCTTTTAGCAGTAAGCATGCTACCCAAGTATAATGAAAAGAATACACGACAGGCCAAGTGAACATCTCAGTAAAGGAGTGAGAGCCAAGTTCACATTTCGACTGAAGTTCTTAAGTATTTGAACCCTCCAATTCTCCTCTCCTCTTCCTTTCTGTGATACTGCTAAGTGGAGGGCTGCCT